CCATACAGTCTTTTTAAGCCTGAGACTGTGCGTTTTCATTTTCTAGCTCTGGCACCTGGCTTTTTTCTTGATTTGTTTTTAAGCAGACTGATCATAGCCATTATCTCTTATGCATAAAACATTTCACATTTTGAAAGTCCATAGCTATTATTTCATAGAATTAGAAGGTACCTCATTAGCACATGAGAAGGCCGAGGGCCGTAGAAGTCAGGTCCTACTGCTAATTCATGTTGGGTCTTGGACTGAAAACCTAGTCATACCAAATTCTCTTTCCACTGAGAGCTGTCACTGGGGCCACCTTCACAGGTACAGTGGATAAGGTGACCACCTAGTGGACAACCCAGGAATTTAGGGATGCTCCTGCCTCCATCACAAAATCTCCTTTCCTCCTTGAGATTCTCCCTTTCCTTGGGTGGAGGTTGGGAGGTTCATTTGGAGATGTACTCATAACCGTTTGTCCTTGAGCAGTGAAGGCCTTTGACATCCCAAAAGGAAAGGAAAGGAAAGACGAGAGGAAGCTGATTACCTGTCTTTGTTTCCCTTCTGTAATATTCTGCACCCTGTAAGTTCTTCCTGCTGTCCAACCTAAAACAACCTGTCATTTGGTGCAGTTTAGCGACAAAGGAAAAGAAACCCAGTTAGACCTTCTGTGGGCCAACTTAAACCTGAGGATTTCAGAGCTCTCAACAAGCAGAGGAAACCCCTGAGCCCTTCATTGCTATTCCCTTATCTTCACCGGGCATGGGAGAAGTAATTTAACTTGCAACTTAAGCAAAAGGCTGTGGGAGGCCCCTGAGCTCAGCTTGAATAGAAAGGGGATATTTTTGCCTTCCAGAGGAAGAAAACTCATTTTCCCAATGCACTTCCACCCGCTCCTCCTGTGCAGATGAGCTTAATTTTCTTCCCCTCCTAATGAAGATGGATCAAAGCCAACCTATATATTCAAGGGGAAGCCAGGCAGGGGAACTGAGTTAAGGGGGTGAGGGAACAGAAACAGAGCATCTCTCATGAAGAGGAAGTAATTAATTTTAAGAGCACGCACAGATAGGGAAGCCCTTGGTAATAGAATGTCATACTCCAAATGCAGGTGGTTAAAAATTAAATCAGAGCATGGGGAATTTGTTCATTCATTCAGCAAATATTTATTGGGCACCTACTGTGTGTAGGTAGAGACCTCCAGCCAGCGGCCATCAGGAGAGGGCCCAGATCTCCACGACCACAGCAGGGCTCATGTAACTGGGCCGAGACAGGGAGAGGTGGGATCCTGTCATCAGGATAAAACATTTGCCCAAGTACCACTAAATGGCTGAATATATTGACCTTTTGGATTTAGGATTTGTTGCTTAAATATCAGCAGCTGTTGAACCCAGCCATATCCAAACGGCTCGTCTGATCTCGGGCTGAATGATAATGTTGTCCATTTGCTTTTCCTCCACTGATTGCATTGTTCTCTGACTGAGTTCTGTCGTCAGTCCAAAAAATTAAATAAGCCCCCCCCTCTCAGTGTCTGTTGTGATGGCACAGAATTGCCATCACAATAGACCGTGATTCACCAGAATGCCTGGTGCTGCCAGAAAGAACCACCTTGGTCAGAGGGATTCTGTCATCCGAAGACAAAAATGGAATAATACTGAAAGCCAGAGGAGCTGAAATTTGATATCAAAAAAAGAACATCGCGACAGTGTCAGATAGCAGGCAGTCTGCAGCCCTCTTTGCTAGAACCCTTTACAAACAACCATGGCTCTTAATGAGCTTGATTGGCAAGTGGGTGTACCTTAGAGGCAGGGGGATGGAAGAGGTGACCTTCACAAGGCCCCTGCAGTCCACGACATTGGGAAAAGGGGAGACTTGACCACCTTCAGCCTCTGGAGAAAGCTCCCTTGCCCTGGAGCAGATCTGGCAGTCACCAGCTGGAATTTATCCCATGGCATCTGGGAAGATTTTCAGAAATAAGCATACCAGGACTCCCCTCTGAGCCCCATTTGCTGCCCTCTTCCTCAGAAGCTTTGGGAGGAAGCTTTCCTTTCATCTCACCCGAGCAAAGAAGCCGGCTCCTTGCTACCAGCTCAGCTCCACGACGCCCACGCCCACGTGCTCCATCGCTCCTCATCTGCTGGACCACCCCAAGCAGAGGGCCCGCAGGCTGGGGCTGTGTCTCAGGGGGCATGCAGGGGGACGCCACGGCGAAGCCTCATTCCCTCTGCTCCTGCCAGTACACGAAGAAGGCTGGGAGGCTGGGAGGAGACAGGAGGCTTAATCAAGCTCGGCGTTCTGACGACGGCAGCCACAGTGCACGAGTCTGGAGCGTCACCGAACCCTTGTGCCCACAGGATTGCAAGAGTCTCTGAGAAGCAAGCCAGTTCCAGCCCAAGGGCCTGGGCTCTGGGCCGGGAGTTGGGAGGCAGGGAGCCCTGTCTTCCTGCAGGTCAGGCTGGCATGAGCTGCTGCTGTGCACATGGGAACGCAGCCCCAGGCTCCCCCACCTGCCCGGCCGCTTTGTGTCCTTAGCTCAGTGAGATCAGACTACCTGGAAGTTGTACACCTGCTCTGTGTGCGCCGGCCTCTCTGTTTCAGCCTTTCCTCCTTGGGGACCTGAATGGGGAGGATATCAGCCCCTGCTCCCTTTTTCTGCCTCCAGCTCTCTGACGGGCAGCATTCTGGCTGAATGCTAAGAAGACACAAGCTCCCTTGGGCACCTGGGACCCCTTGCCACCAGCCAGGGGGAGCCCCTCCCCTCCCCTAGGGCTGGAGCCTGAAGGAGGGGGGCCGGCAAAGCCCGCCTCCACTGGCCCTGGAGCTTGGCCACGGCGCCCCGAACCCCGGGGCCGGAGGACTTACCTCTCAGAGGGATGGTAGGAGCAGGGTGGCCAGTGGGTCTGCTGAGGCTGCCAAACGGGAGCCAGAGCTGCCAAAAAAATGTTGAAGTTTCGGGCCGATCGACGGATCAGGTAGGGATTTCTTCGGTGGACCGTGGGGCCAAGTTGAGTGAGAGCAGGCCGAGCCTGCAGCTCGTTGGATCGGGGGGCTCCAGAGCAAGGGGCCTGCCTGTCACGACCTGCAGAAGGAAGAGCAGTTAGGTCAATGACTGCTGCATTGCAGTGGCTGTGAAGGGGAAGCTATTTTGAAGTTGGTGGCGCTGGGATGGAGAGAGGACGTCATTTGTAGAGGTTGCTGGGTAGGACAGTCTAGGGCAGGGAGAAATCCGCCGTGCCTTGAAAGACTTGTGCCAGCTGACAGCAGACTGAGTGTGCTTCTCTGTGTGTGACTGTCTGCACCAGTGCCTGCAGGGAAGGTTCCAGCCCTGAGCACAGGGAACATGGAGAGCAGACGGGGACTGGGCTGTGGGTGTGGGAGGCAGGTGTCCTGTGCCACTGGGAAGGCAAAGACCATGACACTCTAAGGACCTTTGTTGTCATGAACTGCCTGCCCCCTGAGCCCGAGAAGGGCAGAGCCAGGGATGCAAGGAAACAGCTGCTCTTCCTTGTAACAATCCCCTGCAGTTACAGAGAGCATCCTTGTTGGGTCTGGGAGGGAAGCGGAAATAAAGTTTAAGAAGCTGGAGCAGGTTGTCCACACGCCAGAGTGAGAACCCAGGCCTGGTGGATGCTGGCCAAATCAGGATCCCAGCTGGCAAGCCTGGGCAGCAAAACCAGGATTTCCACACGGCCCTCACCCCTGCCCACTGTGCTCCTACCTACTCCATGACTGGTCTGGAAGCAGAAAAATCACCCTTTGATTTATCTTTACCTTCAGCAGACAGCTCAAGGGCTGGGATGTGTCCTGGGCGTTTGAAGAGGGTGTCTCCAAATGGTTAGTTTACCTTTCTCTTGTGCTGAGGGAACTGAGTATAGATCTCTTTGCCCTGGTGCCAGCTGACCCACTGCTTGTCAGGCAGAGTGCTGGCCCTTTGCTGACAGAGTGCTCATGGAGCCTGGTGTTGGGACCCACAAGCTGCATGCAGCCCACGGAGGCTCTGTCTGGGCTGATTGGGGTGACCTGAACCTGCTCTGGGCTCTCATAGTGTTTCTCAAGATGGCTGGGTGAAGAGGACCTTAAAACTCATCCAGCCCCCTTCTGACTGGATGTTTGAATCTCCTACAACGTCCTTGCCGAGTGGGTTCCCAGCTTGCAGAATCTATCTCAGATGGCTGCGATTTGTGGCTTAGACCTGCTGCACTAGCCCTGCTCCCCTACCTCCCATGACAGCCACTAGGGAGCCAGCCTAACACTCATTTGGCCAGAAGTGCCACAGCAGGGCCTCCCGAAGGAGCCCCCACAGTTCTGCCCCCATATGCCCCTGGTCCCTGCTCCCCCCTACTTCCTGGCAGCCTGACCCCACAATGCCCCACCCCTCTCCCCAGCCAGGGCCTCCCTTAATTAGACCTGACTGTTGAGCCAGCACCCTGACAGATCCTACGGTCTCAGCTATACCAGGTAACCCCTTAAACGGGGAGACCCTGGACTTAGAATGTGGGTGGGTCCCAGCCCAGGCTCAGGAATGGAATTCATGGATTTCTCATTTCATTTAAAGAAAGAGTGGAATATAAAGCAGTGGAGGGAGGAGTCCAAGGTCACAAGAGAATTCTTTCAGCAAATAATGAGTGAGCAGTTTTCATGTGGAGCACTGGTGGGAGGTGTTCCAAGAGAGAACCTGCCGCACAGGAACCTGTTGGCACCCCCTCCCCACCACCTACATATGCAACCAGGGTGACCGCTGGAAGGGCTGAGTGGGGCTCACTTCCAGCCACAGGGGCCTCTAGTAAGTAGTTAACCCTGACTGGTGACAGGTGTCCTCCGCACACCGCCCACTGATGGCAGCTGCTTTTTCTCCAGCCCAGCGCACCACCTGGCCCCCCCGGATCCCACCACTGGAAGACAGCAGGAGGGACAAGTGCCTATGTGGTCACCCACCCCTGTCGCCGCCCAGAGCCTGTCCTCCCTTGGCTTGCATCTCTGCTTTCTGCATTTTTACCACTTCTTTCTCTTTATTGCCTCTACAGCCACAATGAAAGACGTAACACATTTCTACACCCAGTGACTGGCCAGGTCCCAGGGGAGAACAAAAAATTCGACTTGAAAACGTACGTTTGCCCCAGCTTGCTGCCTAACCTTTCCATCCTTGACTGCCACCGTCCACTGCCACTTTGCAGATGGGAAGGGGAAGAGAAGAGGGGGATGAGCCGAGCAGAAGGGGTTCGGGGCCGCTCACCTCAGTTCTGAGGACCCGAAGCTCCTGAGACCCATGTGGCTTGACACCCTCATCCTCTTTTCCCAGAATCTAGCAGATGTCAGGTTAGTGCATCCCGCAGGTTGAGCCAAGGAGTGAGACAAGTCTGGGGTTGGCACGTCACCCAGAGGCCTGGGAGGGAATCCGATATAACCATGAGGGCCAAATGCTAATTCCTCTGACTGTGGATCTTGGCTCAGTGAATGAAAGAAGAAAAGGTAATTAAATGACTCTCTTAGTCCCCCGGGCCATTGTGTCTTTCAAATTAGAAGGAAGGGGAGTCCTAGGGTCTAGGTTTTTAAAATAAGTTTATAGAAAAGCAGGAGGAAAATGTTCAGGGTTATAGATACAATTTAAGAAGAGAGGAGGCTGCCGCTGTGATGACCTCTTGACAGCACTTAGGGGATCTAAGCCTGTGCTGCCACTGAATGGGGCGGTGGGGCGGGAAAAGGGGCAGGGGCTGGTCCGTCGTTTCCTGGCTTTCACTGGTCTTCTCTTCTGGTCTACTTGAAATCAGATCGGCCTTGGACATGTCCAATAAGGCAGGTGGCAAACGCCCGGCCAGTACCAACTGTGACTTACCCAACCACAACATGGTGTCCGAGGTCCCTCCAGAGCGGCCCAGCGTCCGGGTAAGTCCAGTCCCAAGGCCAGCTGTCAGGTGGAAATCCTAGGAAGTGTTGTAGCCTGTCCAGCTGGGTCAGCAGGTGCCACAGAGCAGTTGAGGTGATGCAAGGAGGACAACGGGAAGTAGGGAGGCTCTGACCAGAACCTTGTAGAAGGCTGACCTCTAGCCCAGGGCTTCTCAACCTTGGCATTATTGGCGTTCGGGGTTGGATGATTCTCTGTGGTGCGAGACTCTCCGCTCACTGTAGGAAATTGAGCCACATCCTTGGCATCGACCCACTAGATGCCAGTAGCACCTGCCCTGTGACAGCCCAGAGTATCTCCAGACATTGTTAGATGTGCCCTGGGGGACAGAATTGCCCCAGCATCATTGAGAGCTGCTGATTTAGGGGCACAACAAAAGAAAAATAACTCAGGAAGGGCGTGCAGTGGAAGCTCAGAGCGGAGGAGGGAGGGAGAGAGCCTCAGGGGAGGAAGTAATCCAGA